CTATCTCTTTTCTTTTTTTTTTTGTTTTTGTTTTTGTTTTTTAGTTTAAATTTTGCTACAGGACATGAACACTCACCAGAGACAGAGAAAGACAGAAAGTGAGAAATCACCCTCCAGAGAGGATGGCCACACCACAATCCCTTCTCCATTCTCCTCTTGGATTTGGGGCATGCATGCACACGTGCCTGGTATGGACTTCCAAACTGCTGGGTCTGCGACCTGTACCGCAGTCGGCAATGTGGAATTTAAATTTTGCTACAGGACATGAACACTCACCAGAGACAGAGAAAGACAGAAAGTGAGAAATCACCCTCCAGAGAGGATGGCCACACCACAATCCCTTCTCCATTCTCCTCTTGGATTTGGGGCATGCATGCACACGTGCCTGGTATGGACTTCCAAACTGCTGGGTCTGCGACCTGTACCGCAGTCGGCAATGTGGAAGTCCAGAGCTTTAACCACCACATCAAATGCCGGCCCCTCTCCCCTCAATTTTTTGGCACATATGCACATGCACTTGGTATGTTTCTCAAGCCACTGGGTCTGGGAATTAAACCATGCAGTCAGTCATGTGGGATCCAGAGCCTTAACCTCCATCCCACCTGCTGGTCTTTTTTCTTTATAATTTGCTATAGGGCATGTGTGCTTCTGAGAGGCAGAGGAAAAGTGAGAAAGCACCCCCTTAGAGGATGACCACACTGCAATTCCTTTTCCTCCATTCTCCTCTCAGGATTTAAGGCATGCACGCACACACACCTGGCGTGTTTCTCAAGCCACTGGGTCTGGGACTTGAACCACGTAGTTGGCCACATGAGATCCAACACCTTAACTACCATGCCAGTAGCTGGCCTGAATTTGGCATTTCTTTTAAACAGTATTTATTATTATTTTAATTTGCCACAAGGCACATGCACATGCACACGAGAGAAAGTGAGAAAGCAAGCCATGAGGTCCAGGGCTTGAAACGTGGTCAGCCATGTGGGAGTCCAGTGTCTTAACCACTATGCTACCTGCTGGCCCCAAGGATTCCGCATTTCTAAGCTCCTGTGGGAGACGCTAATGCTGTCGGTCCATGGGCCATACTTTAAAATAAAAAAATATTTAAGTTTATTTGTTATAATTATTTATTATTTTTTAATTTGATCAGAGAGAAAGAGAAAGGGAAAGTGAGAAAGCAAGCCTCCAGGTCCAGGACTCGAACTATGGTCAGTCATGTGGAAGTCCAGCACTTTTATCACCATGCCACCTGCTGGCCTCCCTGGACCACAATTTAAACAGGTTTTGGTCCATTGGGCTTCAAAACTGCTTGTAGGTGCTTGTGGCAATGCAGATCCCTGGGCACTACCCAGCAGACATTCTGATTCTTTTTTTTGAGAGACATTTTTGCTAAAGGGTGAGTGTGTTTACTGGAGAGACAGAAAAACAGAAGGTGAGAAGTCACCCCCCCAAGGGGTGACGGCTATCCCACAATCCCTTTTACTCCATTCTCCTCTCGAGATTTTGGGTATATACACACATGTGCTGGCGTGAGTTTTAAGTGCTGGGTCCAGAACTTGAACCAGGGTCAACTATGTGGGAGTCCAGTGATGTAGCCATTACGTTGTCTGCTGTTCCCAAAATTCTGATGCTTTAGGTTTGGGGTGGTTTCTGGGAATCTGCTTTGTCAGCTAGCACTCCAAGGAACCTCTGGAGACTAGCCTTTTTTTTTTAAATTTTTTAATTTTAATTTTATTTTTTTAGAGGTTTTTGCTATAGGGCACTTGCACTCGCCAGAGAGACAGAGACAGAAAGCGAGAAATCCCCCCCCAGGAGGGATGGCCACGCCGGGTGTGTGTGCGTGCGTGCCCAAGATCCCTACAGGAGAATGGAGGAGAAGGGATTGCGGTGTGGCCATCCCCCCGGGAGTATTTCTTGCTTTCTGTCTCTCTGTCTCTCTCTGTCTGTCTGGCTAGCTCATGCGCTCTATAGCAAAAACCTCTCCAAAAAAAAAGAAAGGAAAACAAAGAGAGACAGACACAGAAAGCAAGAAATCACCCACCAGGGGAGATGGCCACGCCGCAATCCCTTCTCCTCCATTCTCCTCTCGGGATCTTGGGCACCCACACACACATGCCTGACATGACTTTAAGCCACTGGATCCTGGACTCAAACCATGGTCGACTATGTGGGAGTCCAGTGATGTAACCATTATGCTATCTGTTCTCTCTCTCTCTTTTTTTTTTTTTTTTGCTATAGGGTGCATGTGCTTGCCAGACAGACAGAGAGAGACATAGAGACAGAAAGCGAGAAATCACCCCCTGGGCGGATGATCATGCTGCAATCCCTTCTCCTCCATTCTCCTCTCTGGATCTTGAGCACACACGCACACGCGCCCAGCGTGAGTTTAAGCCACCAGGTCCGGGATTCGAACCATGGTTGACTATGTGGGAGTCCAGTGACATAGTCATTACACCAACAGTTGGTCCCAAGACTAGCCTCTGAGAAGTGTAGCCTGAAACCCCACTAGCACTGGTGATGCAGAGGCAAAGTGTATGAATGTGTGTGTGGGGGGGAGGTGCCTTTAGATCACTCCCTAAACCACAGGCACCCCCGATTCCCTCTCTCCCAACCTCATTCAGCATTTCAGCAATCCTATTGGTTCTTCCTTCAAAATATATTTGATTTTCACTGAAAAAAAACTCCACCAAACAAACAGACTTGGGGGTGGAAGAGTAAATGAAACCAGACCAGTAAGCCTGTTGATAACTGTTGAAACTGCGAGTTCATTTTATTACCTAAATTTTTATGTATATTTGAATTTTTCCATAATAAAAAAAAGCTTTACTTTTAAGCCTTTGATACAACAATTCTAATTCTGGGAATTTCTCTTACAAAATGTTTAAATAGAAAAACCCTTACAAATAAAAATATTTTTCAAACGGCAATAGTGAAAAATTGGGAACACTAAGTTCTCATAATAGGAAGACAATAAACTGTGGAACACCCCGCGAGGGCATTTTACGTCATTAAAAGTATTATTCAGATTATGTACCAACAGGGAAAACACGATAGACTACCAAATGGAAAGCAAAAACCCAAAATAAAAACCCAGGGCATTCCACTGTATACGCTGCATGATTAAAACAATAAAAAGATGTGTATCATTAAAAGAAACTGAAATTTAAAAACAACGTTGTGTGTCCATAATCCATTCCCCACTACCTTCAATGCAATGGGCTTTGCCTCTTTGGAGAAGAGGGAAACTGAGTGCTTGCCTAGGGGGAGCTGAGCCCCCTCGCCTCTCGCCTGCACCCCTGGAATAGCCCCACGCTGCTCTATTTCCCACTTCCTCTCTCCAACCTTGCCTTGCACACCAGCTAAAGCATCCTTCGAAAATGTCAATCAGATTACAGCCCTCTTCTGTTTAAAACTCTAAGGCTTCCCACATCTCTCCAACTGAAGGCCAGGTCTAGACCTTACGTCAGCCTCCACCCGGAAGGAGCGTCACCTCAGCCGCACTGCTCTAAAGGTCCAGGGGGTGTTGGTGCTGTTTCCCCTGCTGGGCATAAGCTGCCTTCAGGTATCTGAACCTGTGCTCGCTCCTTTCCTCCTAACAGCGGCTCTGCAGCGAGGCCTTGGCTGGGCTCCTTATCTGACCCAGAACCACCTCCACACTGCTTGGTTTTCTTCGAAGCACTTTATCGACACCTCCCACTGTCTCGTCCGTTTGTTGTCCACTCTCTAGAGGGCAAGTTCCTCGGAAACAAAGACTGTGTTTGATTCTCTGCTGAAGCCCTTATACCTGGCGTAGAGCCTGCACACGATGGGTGAGCAATACCTACCTGGTGAATGAAAGAATGTTCAACTAAATAACTAAGGAAGAGTGTGAGCTTCACGTGGGCTTTGTTTCTTGGGGTGATCTTTCCCCTTCTGAAACATCCTGGCAATGGCAGATCGCAGCAGGTGCCCAGTGGAAACTGAGGCTGTTGACTTCTTTCTCAGGGGGCCCACGCAGCACGGTGTAAAGCACCCACAGGGATCTGGAAGTTCTGAAGCGCACTGGCTACCAGAACTATAGCTGTGAGAAGTCAAATCTTAGCTTACCACCACCAGCTGGGCGGCCTGGCGAAAATGATGAGAATTCTCCAAGCAGGAATTTTTTCTTGCCTAGAAAGAGAAGGAACCTAACAGTTCCTAGGCTAGGGTGGGGACTGAACAAGAGAATGCCCACAAAGCACGTAGCAAGCACAGTGCCCGAGCCGAAGGAGGTGTGCAACGGCAGGCAAGCAAATTAATCAACAGCCACACATGTGCCTTTGTCTCGTCCCCGTTTACAATGTGCTCTTACACGCTTTAGCTGATTCGAGCCTTTCAGCAACCCGCAGGTTTTATCACCATTTTATAGGGGAGGAAACTGGGTCAAAGAATAAAGTGCTTGTCTACAAAACACAACTGAATCAGACCAGCTCTCCCACGCCCTCTCTCCAGAGCACAAGCTATCAAGATGATGTGGATGGCCCCCTGGAGCCCAGACTCGGAAGCCTGCGCCTGGTGTAAGGCTGTGGGTAGCAAATGGGATCAGAAATGCAATCAGCCGGGGAGCCACACTCTCACGACAGCCGGACAGAGGCAGGCGGTGCATGGGCTTGATTGTCTGGGGCTTTTTCTGCATGAGCCCTGGGAGCAAGTCTGGACAGATAAACCATCTCTCAGAGTCCTCCCAGAACATAAAACACTTCACTGTTTTCCAAGAGAGTAATACAAAAGCCCTTCCTGTCCAGTTCCTCCCACTGAGAGTAGGGCAGCAGCTCTAAGCAACAAATGCTGACTTTGGCAACTGATATCCTTGATGCCCTCTGCCCTCTGCCCCAGTCTGTTCCCGACATAAAAAGCATTTCTGAACCAAAGATAGTCAAGGGAGATGCTCCTGCGTGGGGCTCTGGGCCTGGCTCTCAGCAGAGGTTCTACTCTCTTTCCAGGATCACAAGCTGAGTGAGATTAGGTGGCAGGGAAGAGATTTGCAGGTGTCAGACATGGCATTTCAGAGCCACAAGGTTGAAAATCATAGGCTCGGGCCAGCCGGTGGTGTGGTGATTAAGGCAGCTGGATCTCACATGGTCGACTGTCCAGTTTGAGTCGGGGACCTGGTCGCATGAGAAACACGCTGCACACATGTGCATGTGCCCCAAATCCCAAGTGGAAGGAGAAATGGAGAAGGGATTGTGGTGCCACGAACCCCCATGAGGTGTGTTCTCACTTTGTCTCTTCTGCTCTTCCAGAGCATGCGCCCTCTGGCAAGATTTAAAAACTCATAGGCTCTCAGGTGTGAGTCATGGATCATTACAACAGCAGCATCTGAGAGACAAAGAACTTATGACGTGTAACACCTTAAGCCTCATGGCACTGGCGGAGACAACCGGATGGGATGGGGTTTCCGAAGTGGGGATTCTGACGGCTGCTGGGTCCTGGGCATCGTCTGTGTAGTTACAGCAGATACTCCCCTGCGGGAATGTGCTCTGAGGGCTGCAGCTACAGGAGCGAGAACAGGCTTTGGATTCCAACCTAACAAAATCCTACCAAGCAGGCCCTTCTGGCAAGAGATCAGCAGGGGAGTTTCAGAGGGATCCTACCATGCATGGAAGCCCTGGCCCCCAGTGCTGCCTCCTGGGACCTGAAGGTGCCAGGTCTGCATGGTTTACCAGCCACCAGAAGACTGAAAGCAACACCATGGTGGTCTGGCTGATGGCATGTACGCCTCGCCAGGAACCGTGCACACAGCTGCCCTCAGATCGCTGCATGGCCCGTGACGGATCACTTGCTCCATCTGCGTAATTTTCATGGTGGAGAGTGTTGATGTCCCAAACCCCAGAACTGGCCCAGGAAGTAGGGGACAATGATGTCTCTGACCAGGAAGTAGGGATAGGAATGAAGGTCACTTTTGGGGGACATCCGGAAAAGTAGCCAAAAGACCCACCCTAGCCTTGGCCTCATGCACATTTAGTTAAGGTCACTTTAGGTGAACCTATATTAATGGATTTCACTGATATTTCAAAATGAAGGTGAGTTCTAAGGTGGTCATGATCTCATATCAAAACTATAAAAATCTCTCTATGGAAGAAATCTCTCTGAAGAGAGTTCAGCATTCCGGGCTGCTAAGAGCAGGGCAGAGCAAAAGACAGAGATCGACTGCTCTGCCATGGGACAGGTTCCCATGAGAAACAGCAGGAAGCACATGAGATGGGGGATGCTCTGGCTTTTAGGAGCTTGGTGGGCCTGTGCCCCGGGAAGTGCAGTGTCTCCCTTCTCCAGGGAGGCCCTGGTACTTTTCTCCATCTCTGAAGGCAAGAAGAGGTGCTTGGATTCTGGGGAGGGAGGCATTCTGGGAGAGGAGCCTGTGACCCTGGAAGTGCCTTTGGTTGCCAGGCCTGGCTAGAGGGACCAGCTCATGCTCCAGCCAGAATCAGAACTCGTCCCGCAGCTGAGGGGGCTTGTCCATGCCAAAGAAAGAGGACAGCTTCCCCTGCAGGTCCCGCTCCCGCTTCACAAAGGCGGTGAAGGAGGAGACACAGTTGCCAATAAAGTGGTCGGCTTGGCCGAGGATGTACAGGTCGATCTGGGCCACCTCAGGCTTCAGGCTCACCACTTTCACCTGCAGGAGGAAGTGCAGCATGTATCAGCCAGGGTAGCCATGAACAAGGTGACTGACTAGGCCTGAACCTACAGTCTGTACCCTAACCTCCTTCTCCTGGGCTGAAGTTAGATTCAAAAGGAGTGAAGAGATGAAGCCCTGGGGTCGGGCCTGAGAGAAGTGCTGCCCAGCTCCCCCCCAACCCCAACATGGAATACTTTGTTTCCTAGGCCTCTTCCCCCCACCTCCATCCTTGGCTACAAACACACCATTTGCCCCTCTATGCCTCTGCCTGAAATGCCATCTCCCTACCCACTGAAATCCCAACAACGGGCCAGCAGGTGGTGTGGAGGTTAAGGCAGCTGGATCCCACATGGTCAACTGCACAGTTCAAGTCCTGGACCCAGCAGCTTGAAAAACACGGCAGGCATATGTGCGTGCATATCCAGAATTCAGAGAGAACAGAGAAGAGATTGCAGTGTGGCCATCCCACCTGGGGGATGATTTCTCACTTTCCCTCTTTCTAGCTCTCTTTCTCCAGCAAGTACATGCACTCTATAATGAAACTAAAAAAAATTAAAAATAAAGGTAAAATCCCAACCAGACTCCCAAGGCTCAGCTCCAGTTCTGCCTTTCTCATCAAGCCCTCACCTGATGGGCTTCCCCCACAGATCGGAGCAGACTAAACGGCGCCTCACCCATCCAGTTCTTCCTGGATGCCTCCCTCTCCCACGCATCCTGACTTCCAGCCCAAAGTCCTATTGATCTATTGCCAAGATGTTCCCAAAGGTGAACCTTTCTGGATGGGCCCATCACCGATGTCTCTCAGCTGCTCAACTACAACAGCCTCTTCCTTGGTCCCTTTCTCCTGGTCTGCCATCCACAGAATAGCCAGAGGAAACTTTCTTTCTTTTTCATTCCATTTTATTTATTTATTTTTAGGTTTTTGCCATAGGGTGCATGCGTTCGACAGAGAGAGACAGAGAGAGGGAAAGTGAGAAATCACCTCTCAGGAGGGAGGGCCACACTGCAATCCCTTCTCCTCCATTCTCCTCTTGGGATTTTGGACACATATGTACATGTGCCTGGCATGATTTTCAAGTTGCTGGGTCTGAGACTTGAACTATAGTCGGCCATGTAGGAGTCCAGTATCTTAACCACTGTGCCACCTGCTGATCCTGGTAACTTTCTGAGATACTCCTACCCATGTTCTACCTCCCCTTAAGCTGGACATCCTTAATGGTACCCTACTACCCTTTAAATAAAGATGAAAAAGAGTGAACGTGGCCTATGAGGCCCTGCTCACATCTACCTCATCAGCCCTGTCACTCCAGCCACTACCCATGAGGACCCCTCCCTCCTCAGGCCCTTTGCACATGCTGTTCCCTTTTAGGGTCCCCTTCTCCTTGTCTGGTTAACTCCTATTTATTCTTCACTTCTCAACTTAAGTGGCACCTCCTTGGGGAAGGCCTCCCTGGCCCCCCAGCCCAGGTCAGCATTCATGCTCTGCACTCTCATAGACCCCCACTGCTCTGAGTGGGAACGCACATCTCAGTTTATAGTTTTCACTCCTTAGTGATTCTCCGATTAATACCATCTCCTTTACTTGACTGGGCTGGAGTTGTATCCATTTGCTCTCCACTGCTGGCCAGGCCCAGTATGGAGCCTGCCTCAAGAAACATCTGTGGCTTTCCAGCTTAGGCCAGCAGAATGGCTCCCGCAAAGAAGGGTGGTGAGAAGAAGAAGGGCCGTTCTGCCATCAGTGAGGTGGTGACCCAGGAATACACCATCGACATTCACAAGCGCACCCATGGCGTGAGCTTTAAGAAACGTGCCCCTCGGGCACTCAAAGAAACCCAGAAATTTGCCATGAAAGAGATGGGGGCTCCAGATGTGCGCATTGATACCAGGCTCAACAAAACTGTCTGGGCCAAAGGAATAAGAAACATCCCATATGGAGTCCGTGTGTGATTATTTAGAAAACGAAACTAGGATGAAGATTCACCCAACAAGCTCCACACTCAGGTGACCTATGTACCTGTTACCACTTTCAAAAATCTATAAACAGTCGATGGGGATGAGAACTAACTGTTGATTTTCAAATAAAGGTATAAAACCAAAAAAAAAAAAAAAAA